GTGCTTGCTGCAGAAGGTCAAACACTGTAGTCTTCAATATGGATTGAAGCTCAACATCAAGAAGACAAAGATTCTCACCACTGGACCAATTGGCAGCACCATGACAGATGGAGAAGAGAATGAGGTTTTTAACAATACAAGCTTACTCAGCTCCACAATCAACACTCTTAGCACCAGCAGGCAGGAAATCAAGGAAAAAAATGCATTGGGAAAATCTGCTGTCAGGGACCTCTCCAGAGTACTAAGAAGCAAGGATTTCAGTCTAGAGACTAAGGTGCACCTAACCCAGGCCATAGTCTTCACAATTACTTGCTGTGCATCAGAGGGCTGGACAATGACTAAGGATGACAGAAGAATCGATGTCTTCTAATTGCTGTGCTGAAGAAGAGTCTTGAATGCTATAGACTGCAAAGAAACTAAATAGGTCTGCCTTGGAGAGGGTGAAGCCAAGTTTCTTCTTGGAGGCTATGATTTTGAAGCTCTCTCATAAATACTTTGACATGAGTCCAGGAAAGACTTGTCCTTCTCCAGGATGAGATTCATTGATACAGCAACTGAGGCAACAGGGTTTAGTGTGTCAGAATTAGTGAAACTAGCTCAGGACAGGGCAGGGTTCAGAGCTTCTGTACATAGGATCGTATGGGTCATAGGCGACTTGATGGCACATAACAATAACAAACAACAATATGAGGAACCCAAAAAGCTAATTGAATATAATTGTGGGTTATTTTCCATTTATTCCACATAATTCCCACCTTTCCACTCACATAGTTTGAAGTTTGAGTATCTTCTAAGGCCCTTGAACTGCTGTTACCTGTAACAGTGGCAATTGCTTTTTCCAGCAATGGGGAAGCTTATTAACAAAGCTAGTAAGTTGAATAATCAGGGTAGGTTGTTTGTAGGACACACATTCTGAATCTTAAGTCTGAGTGAGTCCAAAGAAGCAATGGAATATTCCATCTGCACACTTCACATGACTTTTTTTGTTCCACCTGCTCAGAGTCTATTGAACTTATAAAGGTTCAGAGCAGCCTGGCAGAGGCTGGCCAAAATCAGAGAAATTAATTTTTAATTGATTCAGAAAAGTGACATAGTCTTTGTAGAGTAGTTAGAACATAAACACGTATGAGAATCAGGCTTAGAGTTAGTCCCATTTTTCTGTATGATGAAAAAAAAATTACTCTTGGGACTTACTTTTGTGGCTCTTGCTGCTTTATCTACATTTTGACAAGTGTTTGAAACACTACGTCTGGGCAATGTGAATGAATGACCATTTTCCAGGCTGGAATAAATGGCCTAAAGCTTCCATTTTCCATCAAATTTCATGTAAATGGTTTGCCCAAGCTGGCTAGTTCTGGATTCTTGCTATACTCCTCCTGAAAGAATTGCTGTTGCTCTGATTACACAGTGGAGATGCAGACAGATCAATCAAGGCTGTATGCTTTTAAGTTTTACTGCTGTAATGAAGACAGTGGGCCCAGCGTTCAGCTGTGCTGGTTTCCAGTGCTTCCTAATATTTGCATGATGGGCTTGTTTTTCCCAACCCTGCACTACCTTAACTGTCTTCCCTTCCCCCTACACTCCTAGCCCCTTGCAATGCTTGATTATGTTCACGCTGAAAGAAAAGGTGCCTGTACATACTATATCCCTCCATTTGGCTTTAGGGACTTCCCTTTGATTTGGAAACAGTAATTTCATAAATTCCGCAATAAAATAAGCAGGAGTGAAAAGGAAAGATTAAGCTTCAGGAATGTGCAGGCAAGTTGGCATTCACTCAAATAATGAGCTGAGAGGGAGTTATCGTTAGTATTGCTCATGTGGATAATAAATTATTATGAATTTGAGTGATGACTATCATTGATTTATATAGTGTGGCTTAATTTTGTTTCCGTCCTTCAAGATAGTAAAGCAGAGTCCGTATTCAACAGGTACATCCCAGACACCATGAGCTTCTCCACATGCACTAATTGCCCTTTCCTGGGTTCTGCCCAGAATATCTGTGGTGAGTGGTGAGTTATCTCCTCTTTGGCAGCCGCCCTGCTTTCCTGTGGTGTGGAATTGTCCACATTCACATTTGCACACAGAGGCTCACTCGAGTGTCACTAAACCAGAGGAGGTGGAGTCCAAGGAGCTTTAAAAGGGAAAGAGTCATTCCACTTTTCAAAAAGGGAAATTGTGCTTGGGGAAGAATCATATCTCTCTATTTCTTCTCTCAGGTTCATTCAAGGGTCGTGCCTGTAACTTTCCCTCTATGCTTTTCTTTCTTTTTTTCCTTTCTAACCTTTGCTTGCTCACTACTCTGCTTTTTGTAGGGAATCCTGCTGCAGGCCTCCAGAGCTTGCCGGTTAAACTCTGCTAAACTTGTCATAAAGGTCTCAGGTATTTCTTGCTCCAGAAAATGTAGATAAAGAAATCTGGAGTGGCCCTTTCCCAGGCTTCACCTGGAAGCTGTCTTGAGTTGCAGGTGAAGGAAGCTGGAGAGGAAGAGCACAATATTAGAGCAAAAAGATGTGCCAAGACCTAAGGCCAACCTTAGTGGACAAGTGTGAGATCAGACAAACTCGCTTTACTTGGGCTCTTCTCTAGCAAAACCAGCCCACTTTCTACTGAAGTTCAAACTCACCAGGATGTTGCTGTTTCTTTTTATTACTTTGTCGTCAATACTTTTGCAGTTTAGTTTTATCAGCGTCTCAGCTCTGCAGGACTGCAGCTGTCCTAATGGTCTTCCTGCAGGAAATGAACCTTCTGCCTGTGTGGGTAAGTAATCAACTTTCAATCAATTCCCAGCCTCCTGGTCACCACTGTCACAGACCAACCCATTCGGTGTAGTATGCTTCACCATTTTCCTCTGACTTTTTTTTTTGGACGTGTATTTGCTTGACTTTTGTTCCCCATGTGTGTTTAGTTTAGTTTACCAGCTGTTGGGCAAATTGGCCACCAACTACGAAAATCCATGACTGTCAAACTTTTGTGATGTTCTTTTGTGATGTGCTTTGTTTTGCACTAGTTGGACATTTCTTTTGACTTAAGCATCTTTCTTTTAACATGAGGAGTAACTAAACTCTATGCTCATTCCTCTCAATTAGAAACTGGATGAACATGTTTACTTTTACTCTTTTGCAACTATCTCTAGTTAAGCCATAAAAGAGGGTTAATAAATTTCTTTCTGGTAACTTGTATATGACCTGGGAAGTTTTAATGATAAGTTAAAAAAAATGTGAAGGGAATTGTGAGCAAACGTGATTTTATCATTTTGAAAATCAACCTAAGTTTAATATGAACTCTACCTCTCCTGCTGCTTCTGAATCTGCTGGTGTAACAGGTGCACTGTAAGTTGGAGAGCTGTTGAGGAACGGATGTGAGTAAATACACTATATGTTCTCTCTCCAGTCAATGTCATTTAATTCAAAGGAAAACATCTTTTTTCATAGAAGTGTAAGAATTTCCCTGAATGTAAATAACAAACCTGCCTCAAGATCTTCCTTGAAAACATCTCTCTTCTCATTCTCTGATGATTTGTTTTATTTAACCCGTGCATGGGTCTCTAAGTTGTTGCTCAAATAAGTCATCTAATTCTGTTTATTAGAGGACAGAAGCTGCCCTAACATTCTTCTTGTCGTTTATTTAGTCACAGAGGGACACAGAATCAAAGAAACATCTGTTTTAGAAGCAAACAGATCTCATTTCAAAAACATGCTGCCCACTTATGAATTGGGTTACATTTGAGTATCACTGAAAGCAAATAATGATAATGCTTGCCTTTCAAGATTGTTGTGGAGAATTGTATAACAGGTGAACCAGGACTCCACCCTAGAGGCCAGCTGGTGTAGTGGTTGTTATTGTGTACCAGTGAGTAGAGTCTTGACTCATCCGACAGGACAGAACTGCTCCATAGGATTTTCTGGGCTTTATTCATTTTAGAAATAGATCATTGGGCCTATTACAGTGGTGCTGGGAAGGTTCAAATCACTAGCCTTTTGGTGATCTGCTGAGCTTAGTAAACATCCTCTGGGCTCCACGTCATGCTAAATCTCAAATCAAGTCAGACAACTTGGTTCCTGATCTGCACCAGCCAGTGCGGTGGCACAAATTTTGTGGAGTATCCGCATGTCACTAAGTGACTCTGCCCTTTCATTCCCTGGTTCCGTGCAGGTCACTGGTTTAAACACCCCACTGCACACTCTGTTTCTCAAGTTAGCTAATAAATGCCCCAGTCACACCCTAAAAACCCCTGCATTTTATTGTACACTATTTCTTTCTCCTCTCTAAATAATTATGTTTCTGTAGTCTATTCTCTCCTGTTTACATTCTTTTCACTTTATTTCTTGTCCTTGGCATTGAGATAGATTGCCTCTGCTTCAGTCTGACTAAACAAGAAGAATGCTTTGCAGGCTGTCGAGATTCAGGTAAAATGATCCAAGGTTGTTGCTCACATGCCTGCTAGGTGGATACACCAAGTGATAGCAACACAGGCTTCAGTTTCCTTTCTATTCCTTCTTTTTAAATCTGATGAGTGCTCTGTTAACTTCTATTTGAGCTACTGTGGGCAGCGAAGAAAACTGCTGGCAAATGGCTTCTGAGCTTTCAAGGCCCAGAGGGGAAATATCAGCTGAGAGAAGGAAGTGTTCCTGGTTGCTGCTGCCCCTGCATGTTCATATGAGAAAACAGCGCAGGCTGAGCCGTGGAGAGCTGGCTGAAGGAGAGACTGGACTCTGAGGCAGCCAATTGGGGAGATAACGTTTAACAGTAAACAGTGAAATGACTGATTTCAGCACTGGCTAGAGCTTGGGCAGCTTCCCAGTCATGTGCAAACTGGAGTAATTCCGTGACCAGGATCATGTTTATTTTTTCAGCCAAGGTCATACATTTATTTTTTTTTTAAATCTAAGTGTAAAGGAGTGATACAGTCACTGCTGCAATGGGCTCTTGTGTGCCAGGAAGTGTGAGGATGACACAGGATAGAACAGGGTTCAGATCTTTTGTTCCTAGTGTGGTTATGAGTTATACTCGACTCAGTGGCACCTAACAACAAGGTGTAAAGAAATTACAGAGAGGATTTCTTATGTGCATTATATGAATGGAAAAATTAAAACAAACTCATTGACATTGAGTTAGAACTGACTCATAGTAGACCCTTTGGTAGGTTTTCTGAGACTTTAAACCACACAGAAGGATTGCCCCTCGTTCTCCCTCAGAGCCACTGATGAATTCAAATCACTAGAAAGGCTCAGACTTTGGATTAGCAGTGTAACTCCCTACAGATGAGGCCGCCATTCCCCAAACACATAATGCTTTGTGGTTTTTGAGGTTTAATTGTTGTTTTTATGTGCTGTGGAGTTGGGACTGACTCATACCTGACCCTTCAGCAAGTTTTCAGAGGTCATCCTAGAAAAGGTTAAACCGGACCTCCTTGGAGGCAAGGATTCTGAGGCTCCATCTAACATACTTTGGACATGTTGTAAGGAAGGACTGGTCCTTGGAGAGGGATATCGTGCTTGGGAGGGTGGAGTGACAGCGCAGGAGGGGAAGGCCCTCTATGAGGTGGATTGATTCAGTGACTGGGATAATCGGGATGGGAGTGTCAGAGACAGTGAGGTTGGCACAGGACAGAGCAGAGTTTAGGGCTGTTGTACATAGGGTCGCTATGAGTCACAAGCGACTCGACGGCACATAAAAACAACAACTCACATGGGAGGAGATTGTATTTATTTCTCCTGTGTATTCATTATGAACTACCTGCCATTAGGCTAGCAGTGCAACTCTTCACTGGAGCTCCCTATTATGGTTGCTTGGCTCTACAATCAACACTCTTTGTACCAGCAGCTAGGAAATTAAAAGATGAATTGCATTGGGAAAGTCTGCTGTCCGAGCCCCCTCCAACGTACTGAGGAGCAATGATGTCAGTCTAGAGACTAAGGTGTTCCTGATACAGGTCATGGTCTTTGCAATTACTTGCTATGCTTCAGAGAGCTGGACAATGACTAGAGATGATAGAAGGAGAGTTGATGCCTTTGAGCTTTGGTGCTGGAGAAGAGTACTGAATGTACCATGGACTGGTAGGAGCACAAACAAGTTCGTCCTGGAGAGGGTGAAGCCAGGCTGATCCTTGGAGGCAAGGATTCTGAAGCTTCATCTGACATATTTTGGACATGTTGCGAGGAGGGACCAGTCCTTGGAGAGGGACATCATGCTTGGGAGGGTGAAGTGACAGCGCAGGAAAGGAAAACCCTCAGTGAGATGGATTGATTTTGTCACTGTAGTAATGGGGCTAGGTGTGTCGGATACAATGAGATTGGCAAGGGATAGAGCAGGGTTTAGGGCTGTTGTAAATAGGGTTGCTATGAATCGCAAGCAACTCAATGACACATAACAACAATTACTGGCTCTGGCTACTCATGATGATTTTATGTACAACAGTACTGAAACTTGATTATAATCCATAGTTTCCTTTGCTTTAGAATTATAATTGAATCTTTGTTTAAGTCTCTCATCTGGCAACTTAGCATTTTTCACCAACTCGGAGAGCAGAAACAGGCTTCAACATTTTTTGTTTAGGTGCTGCTTTTGAAGGAGCCTTAGTAACAGCCACGGTGTTCTTTTTAGATTCTTGTTTAGCGTATTTTGCTTCCTTGGCAGCCCTGATAGTCTGTTCTCATTAGGTCTTCTCTCTAACTTCAGGCTTTTGATTCCTCTTGGCCATTATATCAGCAAGGACTGCACTAGTGATGACCCTCTGGAATTTGATGGCACAGCTGGTTCTTTTCTTTTAAATTTCTTCCAATTGGCAATTTTTGTTCTTTTTTCTGTAGAGGACAATCCAATTTATCTGCCATGGGTTTCTTTTGGAGAGCAAAGTCAATTAGCATTTTGAAACAGCTTCCTGTAGGTGTTGCACCTCATGAGTCAGAGGTAGATCTTGTACCCTCTAAAACTGCACAGCTTGACTTTAAAGGTTTCACGTGGACAGGGAAGATGGCCTGATCTATAGTTTTCATAGCTGACATTTGAA